CATTGAAAAGGCAAGCAATTCAATATGGGTTATACATGTGCAATTTTGCAAAACATAGAAGTTATGTTGTGAAAAACTAACTCTATTTCTCTTAATCCTTATCCCAGCTTCCATTTATTCTATTCTTTCTTTTGACCCTGTCCTTCCTCAGAAGTGTTTGCTTCTGATTACCCCTCTCCCAATCTGTCCTCCCGTCTATCTAAATGCAGATTTTAATAAAGTGTGAGTGTATGTGTGTGTGTGTGTGTGTGTGTGTGTGCGTGTGTGTGTGTGTGTGTGTGTGTGTGATGAAAGTTAGAACAAGAGGGTCCTGGATCCTAAAGTGGTAGCAAGGTGACATCCGTCATTTTTTTCTCTTTTTGTGCTAGGCAATAGGGTTAAGTGACTTGCCCAGGGTCACACAGCTAGTAAGTGTCAAGTGTCTGAGGTCAGATTTGAATTCAAGTCCTCCTGACTCCAGGGCTGATGTTCTATCCACTGCACCACCTAGTTGCTCCCATTCATCCTTCATTTTCAAAGAGGACCAATGATATCAGAGGTGATGTCTTGACTTGCTTGTGAATTGGATTTAGTTGAGGCAGAGTTGTGCAAAGTTGTCAGCTTCTCTCTTCCTGAATTATTGAAGTCCAGTGGCAAGACAAAAGTTAAGACAACTGGTATGGCCCAGGATGCAGTGGATGGCAGAGGAGAAAGGGCAAGGAAGTACCCGTACCTTTTCACTCATGCCACCTGCTTGCACTCCCTTGCAACCAGAGTTCATCAGTCAGGGCCCAAGAAATGAGCCCTTCCTCACACACTGTCCAAGAAGCTTATCATGAGTCCTCCATCCTCCCCCTCTTCCCCTCTCCAAGAAATAAGGCCAGTCTAGATCTTTGCATAAGTAGACTCTTTTTATTCATTCTATAATACACAATAGCACTGTCCAGAAAAGAACAGGAACAGGTGGGGCCCTGGGGCAAGATGAGTCCCAATTCCCCCTCCCTGATAAGTGTAGTGTCATTATTTATGATGCACTTTGTAACGCACCTTGTAGCTCTGGAGACCCTTCCACTGGGTGTCCTGGGGTAACTGCCCCTTGTTTGTTTCGTTCTCTAACCCCTCCCCACCACCAGGTTTAAGGTTCTGCTGTCAGCATCAGATGCTCATACTCAAATTAAAACTGGGGATAAGAGACATTTGGTGACTTGGCCAGTGTCACACAGAACATAATTGGAAGGTGAGTTTCTATTCCTCCTCTCCCCCTCACATCAAACTTATAGAAGATTTAGGATTAGAACACTGGTCTCCTGGTCACCCACTCTTTCCATCACACCATGACATGGAAACAATAGTGCGGTGGCGTAGTAGATAGAGAACTGGCCTGGGAGTCAGGAAGGCCTGGGTTCAAGTCCTTCTTTGGACAGCATCTCCCTGTCACACCCTCTCCCAGTTCTCCAAGCAACATTCCAAGACTATAAGTTACAGAATAGTTAATGGCCTACGTGTTAAAGGAAGGAAACAAGAATTTATTAAGCACCTACTAAGTGCCAGGTACTGTGCTAAATGTTTTACAATTATTACCTCATTTAACCCTCATGACAACTCTATGAGGTAGGTGTTATTATTCTCATTTTATAGTTGATGAAACTATAAGTGATTTACCTAGGGTCACACAGCTATTAAGTCACTAGGACTAGATTTGGATTCAAGTTATTAAAGTCCAACTCCTCTATCTACTAAGACACCTAGCTGTCTTTTCCGATTTGCAAACTGCTTTAGATCTGTATCTCATTTGATCCTCACCAGAAACCTATGAGATATGCTATTATTTTCCCCATTTTACAGATGAGGAAACTGAGGCAAAAAGTTGTTAAGTGATGTCGCCCTCAACCAGATTGTACACCGAATGGAGAGGTGTGAAATAACTTATGACATGGGCCAGGCAGAGTAGAATTACTGACTCAGTTTATTCATCTGAGGGCACAGAATATATAGGGAAGATCTAGCCTAATTTCAAAGAGTCCTCCCCATGAGATACTCCCCAGAACATCTGCTGAGGATGTGGCAATCATGAATTTCCTCCTTATCAGGGTTCCTAGATTGGGCTGTAGATTCCAAGGTTTTCCCAGGTGCTTTGGCACCACCTGCATGGAGGAGTGAATATGTAAATCTAAGGTTCAAAGAGTGAGAAGGAATGTCTCAGGGACCTCCTAATCAGGAAGGAATTGAAGAGCCGTACCACTTAATCAATGAGCCCTTTCGGGTACAAGCCTGGGCAAGTCACAGTCTGCCTTGGATCTTAAACCCTTATCAGACTCTTAAGATCAGCCCTCAACAAAGTGACTTGCCCAGGATCATATAGCTAGTGAGTGTCTGAATCAGGATTTGAATTCAGGACTTCCTGATTCCAGGTCCAGCATTCTATCTATTGTACAACCTAGCTCCACACCCTGGCATTCAAGGCTATTCTTGTAAAATGGCCTAACCTGGCATCCGAGGCTACTCGCACTCTCACCAGGCACTCACACCACCACCAAGCTAGTTTAGGCCATCATCACGTAGGCCTAGACTATTTTGACAGCCTCCTGACTGGTCTCCCTAACTCCAAGTTCTCTTCTGTCTAGTTCATCTTCCTGTCAAATTGATATTAATAAAGCGCAGGCCTGACCATTTCACTCATTCACCAAAGAAGTTCCAGCGGTAACCTATGGCCTCTAAGATGAAGAATAAATTCCTCTGTTTGGCATTTAAAGCCATTTTCAATATGGCTCCAGCCGCCTTTCCAGTCTTATTACACATTACTCCCCTTTACAGACTTGACATTGCAACCAAACTGATGTACTATACATGGCGCTCATCTCCTACTGCCCCATCTTTGCACAGGCTATACACCCATGCCTAGAACATGTTCCCTCTTCACTTCTGTCTCTCGAATTTCTTCAGAGCTCAGCTTGAGAGATGCCTCTTATATCAGACCTTTCCTGATCCCTCCTAGCTAGATTACTGTCAATATTACTTTCACCACTTCCTTCACTCCTATTCACGTGCTGTTAAGATCTGGAGGAAATCACAAAACTGTGCTGATTGGTTCCATTAAAAATTTGTTACCTAATATTAACTGAACCTTCACAGCAATGTTCTATTCCTCCATAATTTATATTTGCTAGTCCACTGTCCTGTTCAAAATCTCCCATGGCATCTACCTTCCTCTATCCTCTCAGCTAAGGACCTTGCTTCATACTTCACAAAAAAAAAAAGAAAAAGAAAGAAAGAAAGAAAGAAAGAAAGAAAGAAAGAAAGAAAGAAAGAAAGAAAGAAAGAAAGAAAGAAAGAAGAAATCAATCACAAGAAGAATCCCTCTTCTTCCATCCTACTCACATCCTGTCATTCAGACATCTTCCCCCTTTATCTTCTCATTCACGGGTCTCTGATGAAGAATGATCCTTCTCCTTGCCTAGGTCAGTCTTTCTACTTGTGCCCTTGATCCCATCCCCTTCTGACTTCTCCAGCAGTTGGCTCTTACTCTCCTCCCTACTCTCTTTTATCAGTCTCTTCCTTTCCCCTGGCTCCTTCCCTACTGCTTACTAACATACTCATGTCCTCTTTGACTTTAAGAAGCCCTTACCTGTTCCTGTCATCCCTCAGAGTTATCATCTGAGATTTCTTTTTCCTTTCTCAGGTAAACTCCTTGAGGAAGTCATCTACAATCAGTGTTTCTACTCCCTTTCCTCTCATTCTCTTCTGAATCCTGTGCAATTTGGCCTCATCATATATATGAAAGTGCTCTCTCCAAAGATACCAGTGATCTTTTAATTTCAAAATCTAATGGCCTTTTTCTCAGTCCTGATCCTTCTTCTTGATCTCTTCATAGCATTTCAAATGGTTGATCACCTCTTCCTCGTTCCTCTCTCCTCATGACCATGCTCTCACCTCCTCTTATCTACCTGATTGCTCCTTCTCAGTCTCCCTTGCCCATTTTTCACTCATACTACAATTCTCTAAATTTAGTGTCCTCAAAGGCTCTGCTATGGGTTCCCCTCTCTTGCTCTATACTACCTTGCTTATTGGGCTCATTAGCTCCCATGGATTCCATTAACATCTCTAAGGAGATGACTCCAAGATCTAGCCCTCACCTCTCTCCTCAGCTACAGTAACAAACTAATTCTTGGACATTTCCAACTGAATGTTCTAGAGACATCTCAAATTAAGTATTTCCAAAATACATCCTTCCCTCCAAAGCCTCTCCTCTTCTAAACTTTCCTATTACTTCCCAAAAGGAGTAATATATAACAAACCTATAAAGTAGGCTGGAACCAGTCACTCACTTTATGACCTAAGTGCTATCCTCAACTCATCATTCTTGTTCACATTATCCATACTCTGAGACTCAGCTTAATGTTGTCTCCTCTATGAAGCTTTCCCTGCCTAGCTGGAAATGATCTCTCCCTCTCTGGAGCTCCCTTCAATTTCCTAGTATCATAGGATGACAGATTTAGAGCCGGAGTGTCAGACTACGTAGTCCAACACTCCCACTACCACCATTTTACAGATGAGGAACCTCCTTTGTTCATAGTCACAAAGGTAGTTTCAGAGATGATGTTGGGACCCATGTGTCCCTAACTCTAACTCTTTCTCTCTCTCTCTCTCTCTCTCTCTCTCTCTCTCTCTCTCTCTCTCTCTCTCTCTCTCTCTCTCTCCCTTCCCTCCCTCCCTCTTTCTGTTACACCTCCATTATCCCCTCTCCACTATAACAGATGCCCTCAGACCTTTACAACTCCATCATGGCACCTATAATATCATACTATGCATTGTAATGAATGTCTTATCTTCCCCACTGGATCCTGAGCTCCTTGAGTATAATAATCATAGTAACAATAACAACAACAATAATAATAATAATAATAATAAACATTGCTATAGAGCATTAAGGTTTACAAGGCACTTTCTTCACAACAACCCTGTGAAGTAGGTAGTGCAAGTATTTTTCTCCCCATTTGACAGATGAGGAAACTGAGGCTCAGAGAAGAGAAACAACTTCCCCAGAATCACACAGGTTACTAGTTAGGACCCTAGGTCCTCTGATTCTGGGACTAGAGAGTCACTATAGAACCACTGGCTTTATGTATGCCTCTCCTCATATTTCCATCCTCCAGAAGCACTCTGCCTAGCACACAGAGGGCACACAGAGGTGTCATTAAAATGAACTGGAGGATTCACCAGGCTGAGTCGCTATTTCTTTCCAACAGGAAACTCTCCCAGAGATCTGGTTTGATGCCCATATCAGTACATTCTCCATTTCAATAAGAAGTGATCAATAGTTTTAAAAGGCATGGAAGCTTTTTGTTTTATTCTCATGGCTTCCACCGTGTCCATGAAGCATTAGCTTAGTAGTTTTAAGAAAGCATCTTCTCATCTCCTAATGGCTCCAACTGTCTCTTGTATGGGTTTTAAAAGGCATGGAAGATTTTTGTTTTATTCTCATGGCTTCCACCGTGTCCATGAAGCATTAGCTTAGTAGTTTTAAGAAAGCATCTTCTCATCTCCTAATGGCCCCAACTGTCTCTTGTATGGCAACTCAAAGGAACAGAGAGGCCTGGGCTTCAATCTGGACTAAGGAAGGGCGCAGTTGCTCCATCCTGTGAAGAGAAAATGGACATCTTGAGATATAGGTCTTAACCTTTCAAGACCCTTCAGGATCTGGCTGGCCCCACTCAGGGGTGGCTAGTGATACATTAAAGTAGTAGGACATAGGACCAAGGCTAGGTAGAGAGGCAGGAGAGGCCAGACTAGGAGAATTCGAACAAACGAATGAATGAATGCTGGGCATACTGAAGGTACTGACTGAGTAAATAAGTGGTTAATGAAACTAGAAGATGGAACCCAGGCCAGTAAGATTTTTTTTAGCATCATTCTTTCACCAGCTGGAATCATTTTACAGGCTACAGGGGGGTTGTGGTCTTCCTTTCCCAATTCTCTAGATGAAGACACTGATGCAGAGGGAAGAGGCATGTCTGAGGTCACAAGACCACCCTGTGAAGCCAGGTCTGCAATACCTCAAAGTCCAGGAGAAACGGAAAGAGCCCAAGGCTGATAGATATGTGACCTTGGGCAAATCGTTTAACCTCTCTGAAACTCAATTTGCCAACCTGCTAAATGGGGATAATAATGTTTGTTGTTGTTGTTCAATCATGCCTGACTCTTCATGACCCTGTCTGTGGGGTTTTCTTAGCAAAGATACTGCAGTGGCTTTCCACTTCCTTCTCCAGTATATCCCCATTTTACAGATGAGGAACTGAGACATATATGGGTTAAGTGACTCACCCAGAGTCACACAGCTAGTAAGAAAGTGTCTGAGACAGTATCTGAACCCAGATCTTCCTGGCTCCAGGCCCAGAACTCTAACTACTGTGCCACATAGTTATCATCTATAATATTTACAAATGATCAAATAAAATAATGTATGAAAAATTCTTTGCAAAGTTTTAAAACTGTGATCCAAATGTCAGCTACTAACAAAATGTCAGAGCAAAAAAATTTATTATATTTTTTTCATTTTTTTCTGTTGGTGTTATGATGGATATAAAGATGATCACATTTGTCTCTGACCAGCTTTTTCAGACTTTTCTCATACTGTTCCCCTTCATGTACTCTACATTACAGTCATCTAGACTGTTCTCAATTTCTTCTTCTTCATCTGTCTTTTCTGTCCCTGGGCCTTTGCCCAGTTCCTCCATGAGTCTGCTTACTGAGATCTATCCCATACTTAAAGATCCAACTCAAGGGTTCCCTTTGGCAAAAGCCTTCCCTGACCTCCCCTAGGCAGAAATGATCTCTCCCTCCTCTTATTCCTCATAACATATTGTCTCTGCCTCTCCTTTGCATCTTTCCTATTTTGCTTGTATCAGTGAAGTCTTTTGGCCACTTATTAGAGGGGGAATTCCTCAAGGTCAGGACCTGTACCTTATTTCATCTTTATATATTCCCCCAGGGCCTAACACAGAGTGTTGGACTTGAATTGAATTGAATTACAGGGGATTACAGCCCACAGACACATAACTAAAATATTCATTCATTCATTCATTCATACTATACAAAATACTTTAATGCTCATTATGTTGTTTGATTTTTCTGAGTAACTCTGTGAGGTAGGCAGAGAAGGGATGATTCCACTCTTACAGGTGTGGAAATTGAAGCTCAGTTAAATGATTTAACCAAGATCTAGAATCCAACTCTTTTGATTCTGACTTAAATGTTGCATCCACCATTCTATGGTGATATCTTATACCACCATAGAAACTGAGAGAAAAACTAGAGAAGGGAGTGATTCATATGGGTCAGAGTCATAAGGGAAAGGTTGGTGGAAGCGCTAGAAACAGCTGTGTGGTGAACGTTGGGTAGGATTTGGATGAGCAGAGAGCTGTAAGAGAGAGGACCTGCTCTTGGGGACAGGTCTCCTTTAAAAGCATAGATTATCTTCTCATGCCATATGAAAGCTCCTGGACATTCTGTGTCATCCACTTTCCCCTGCTCCCACTTACCTGCTCATTATCACAATATATATGACCAAATGTGTGTGCAACACTGTGGTCTCTCCAGCCCATGATTCGGTGGACAGCATAGTTAGTGTTGCCTGCAAATTTGTAAGTCAAACAATAGTCTCTCTCTACTTGTCTCCTCTCTGGCTCCTTCTGGTTTTCTTCCTGATTTCCCAGAACATCTGCCAAGGTTTGGAAGGAGGTAAAGGAGAGGTTGTCCCAGGCTGCCCTAAAATTCGGGTCTTCTTTGATCTAGAATGCAGAAACAAAGGACAAGATTATGGGAGGCAGCCCATCATTGAGAGGCAAGCACGGGATTTTGAGTCAGAACACTGAGTTCAAATCCTACCTAGCTCTGCTCCTTGCTCTCTTGGAAAAATCATTTCTCTCTCAGTGGGGCTCAGTTTCCTCCTCTATAAAATTTGCCTGGCACATAGTAGCTGCTTAATAAATATTTGCTTCTTTATTAATGAGGAAGTTGGAATAGATGAGGGGATTGTTGTAGATAAAGAGTTCTTAAACAGAAGTCAGTGAACTTATTTTTAAAAACATTTTGATAACTGTATTTGAATATAATTGGCTTCCTATGTAATCCTACGTATTTTATTTTAACCATTTAAAAAATTTTTTCTCAGAAGAGGTCCATAGATTTCACTAGACTCTCAAAGGAGGTCCATGATACAAAAAAAGGTGAAGAACACCTAATCTCTAAGATTTCTTTCACTTCTAGATACAATGTTCTGTTCTATACAAACCCTATGTTCTAGCTAGGCTGGCTGACTAAACATACTCTGGACACATCACATCAATTTCTATCTTTGTTCTTACCATTTCCCTGGCCTCGACTGTCTTCCCTGTTTTAAGAGAAAGCCTGAGTTTCTCAACATATTCCTGGCATGAATTTTTTTTAGGATTTCCAAGATGTGACACTCAGAAAATGAAAGCAGCAGCAGACTATGAGATGCACCAGATAGAGAAGCCAAGACTAGCAAACTCATAAACCTATGAGGAAGAAAAGAGGAAGCAAGACAGAGAGAACGGACTTCAGAATCAGCAAGACCTGGGTTCAAAGCTAACCTCTGACTGATAATGACTTTATGGCCCTATGTATGATATTGAACTTCTCTGGGCTCTAAGACTGTATGTTGTAGAAGGTGTCAACTTGGGTTGGTAGAAGTTTCTCTGTCTGAGAAGGTCAAAGGGAGAGAGAGTGAGTGAGACAGACAGAGACAGAGAGGGGACAGAGACAGAGACAGAGACACAGAGAGACACAAAGAGAAAGAAATAGAGATAAACAGAGAGACAGAAACAGAGACAGAGAGATAGAGAAGACAAAGACAGAGACAGATAGAGACACAAGAGAGAAACAGAAAGAAATAGAGATAAACAGAGGGAGAGAGAGACAGAAGCACACACAGAGAGACACATACACACAGTAAGAGAGAGACAGACAGACAGAGAAATAGACAGAGAGAGACAGAGACAGAGAGAGAGAGATCGATCATGCACAGTGGATAGAGGGCTGACCTTGGAATTAGGAAGACCTGAGCTCAAGTCATACTACCTGTGTGCCCACGGCTGAATCTCTTCAACTTCTCAGGCAATTCTAGGCAATTTTCTCTCTCTAAACTGTAAGTTACAGACAAGTTGTCATTCTACATTCATAGAAAGAAGAATTCCCACAACAGAAGCTTTCCACATCAATGAAATCACAGATCCAGACCAAAAACAAAAAATAAAATCACCAATGTAGGGCTTTTTTTTTTTTTTAGTGCATGGTGGACACATACAAAGAAGTGGAAAGAAAGAGACAGAAGTAGGCAGTCAGGGTGACTTCGCAAGCAAAACAATTTGCCAGTAATGCATTCTGAAGGAAGTCAAACCACTCTGAATTTGCTTCTGCTCACCCAATGTCCAGCTCTTTCACTCTCCATCCTGTGTAGAAAGCGGGAGGCCTTTCCCAGTCCCTTCAGCAGCTAAAGCCTTCCCTCCTAAGGCTACTTTCCACCTAGTCTAAATGAATCTGGGATGTACCCACGTAGTCTCCCTCATTAGAATATAAACTCCTTGAGGGCAGAGACTGTTTTTTGCCTTTCTTTGTACCCCAGCTCAAAGCACAGTGTCTAACATATAGTAAGTGCTCAGTAAGTAACTGCTGAGTGATATATACATCATCACAAAAGAACAAAATAATAGAGAGTTAGTGCTGGAAGAGACCTTAGAAATCAAGCTGCTCGTTCTTGACCTATCAACCAAGCGAGAAAAGCCAAATGCTTCCCTGCTCCATCCTATGCCTACACCTAGAGCTGAGATGAGAGCTAGGCAAGATAAATAGTTGCTTAGAGTGCAACAGCCACAGGGTGCAAGGAAGGATGTTGCAGAATTTTCTTGAAATTCATTATTTTACACGGATACATGGTAGTGCCAACAAATGCTGCTTTCCATAGCACATACCTATATTCATTCGAGTTACATATGCTGCAATGAAGGTTCAGATCCTCCATTATTAAGTAATGCAGAGGGGGTCAAACCTCCCAGAGGCACACAACTGATTTGTTCAGGCTCTGATTAGCTCTATGGGGGAATCCAGAAAAGGGAAAAAACTAATTACTAGGAATTTACACATATAACTCGGGAGACACAGTCTACTCTCAAAGAGAGACCGAGATATTTGGACTGTTAGAGCTGGAAGGGGCCTTAGAGACAGTCTAGTCCAATCCCCTTATTTTACAGAAGAGGAAACTGAGACCAGGTGGAGGAGGTGATGATAGTCGTACAATGAGTGGCAAAACCAAGACTAGAACCCAGGTCTCCTGATTCCCAGGTCACTGCTCTTTCTGCCACATCGGACTACCTTCCATATGGAGTAATAAAAGAAAACTCAAGTGACAAGTTACCATTAATTATATAATAAAAATAACAATAGAACCCATGTTTACAGCACTTGAAGTTTTGTTATATGCTAAATGGTAGCATATATGCAGGATTAAGCTTTGAGATGGGAGAGAACACTCTGGGCTGGAGGCTATCCCAGCATCCTGGCGTAGTGTATAGGGAGCCCTGGACTTGGAGTCAGGAGGACATGAGTTTGAATGAGTATGACCTCGGACAAGTCACTTAGTCTTTGTTTGCTTCAGTTAGCTCAGGGGCAAGATGCAGAGATAAGACTTAATGACCTCTAAGGTTCTTTCCATTTCCATTCTGGTTTTTTTTTTTTAATTTTAAGTGAGGCAATTGGGGTGTCTGAGGCTGGATTTGAACTCAGGTCCTCATGACTCCAGGGCTAGTGCTCTATCCATCTAAGGTTCTTTCCATCTATAAATCTATGATCTTGTAAGATTTCATGAAAAAAGTAGGGTCTGAGCTGGGTTCTGAAAACAATCAGCTTTGGATAAGCAGAGGCTTTAGGGCAATGAAGCTGACTGGGGGCACGCTTCTCACCTTTTCATTGTACTTGTCACCTTGCTCTTTGAGAAGAGCCACTATCTTCTGGATAATAACGTCGTCTAAAGGAAAAGAAGAGAGATGGGTTACTTTTTAATGTCCAAAAATGCTCTTTAAATGACACTATCATTTTTCAAATCTGCCACTCAAAACTCTTTTCCTCTTGACTTTCAACCTAATTCAACTATCTCAGGAGGAAAGTCAGCCCTTTCTACCAGGCAAGATACTGGGGAGAAGGGGACTTGGTGGGGGTGAAGGCTGTAGCTATGCTAATTAGGCAGCCTGGCAATTCTGTCCGTTGACCAAGCCAGCCTGAGCGCTGTTCCCCCAGGTAATTTTCTGAAACAAATGGAACTCTTCCTGCTCCAAGGCCTCTGGAAGAATGAGACAGAGAACAGCTTACTAGAAGGAAAAGGGCCCTGGACTGGGAGTCCCAGCTCTGTCACCAACCAACCAGCTGTACCACTTTGGGCAAATTACTTTATGTCTCTGGGCTTCGGTTTCATAGGGTCGCAGATCTAGAGCTGGGAGGGAGCTTGGAAGCTGTCAAGGCCAACCCCTCATTTTACAGATGAGAGAAGAGATGACATGACTTGCCCAGCATTACCAAGTTAGAGATCACCAGAGGCAAGATGGAAATCCAGGTCCTCCAACTCCAGAGACCATACCAACGGCTTCATCTTTAAAGTAAAGGAGTTGCTTTCCAAGGTCTCTTATAACTCTACAATCCTATTTGTGGTCACGGTCTGCAATGTTTTATAGATCCTGCCCAGGGGAATTGACCTAAAGATCAATTCTAACATTCCATGAGACCAAGAGTAGGGAAAAAATGCCTCCTCACCCCAGGATCTCAGAGCAAAAGTCCACCCAAGACTTGGTTAAAGTCATGCTCACTAGATTCAGAACCTTTCTTAAGAGGTGGCTCCTCCTTTGGTGGGGGCCGCCCAACTTGTCTGGAAAGTCCAGTAGACTCAAGAGTCCTGACTTCTGCAAACAGCCTCTCACGTACTTCTTCCTCATCTGAGTCTGGAAACAGAAAGAAACAAATATGTTACAAATCGGTACGTGCTTAGTGGCCAAGGAGTCTGGAACTGAGGGCAGAGTGGCAGAATGAGTCTTCTGGCTGGCTCTGGGTCTTGCCTAGCATGGCACACATGAAGACATTAACATGAGACAAGATATGCTGTATCAGTCAATAAGTCAGCAAACATTCATTAAGCTCTTGCTGTGTGCCAGGCATTGTGTTAAACAATGGGGATACAAGGAAAGGCAAACAAATAAAAATAATCCCCATTCTCAAGGAGCATACATGCTAAAAGGAGAGACAACATATAGTCATCCATCATCATCATCATCACCATCATCATCATCATCACATCCTTCATTTTTGTATCACTTTAAGATGTATAAAGTGCTTGGAGATCCATCATCTCGTTTGATGATCTCCACAATTGCCCTCTTAAGGTAGGTAGACAGGGCTTGCATTCCCATTCAACAAATGGGAAAATCGAGGCTCAGAGAGCCTAGGTGGTTTGCCCAAAGGCACACAATTGGTAAGTGGCAAAACTTAGGCTTCCTGATTTTTGGTACAGTAGAAAGGGTTCAGATCTCGGCTCTGATATTTTTCCAGTTATATGACTTTGGACAAGTTGCCCGGTTCAAGCAGGAAGTCTTTCCTGGTCTTCCTAGGCTTCTAATGCCTTCTCCTCTTAGATTACCTCCCATCTGCTTTGCATATTTCTTCTATGTACCTGGTTACTTACTCGTGGTCTCTCCCATTAGAATGTAAGCTCCTTGAGGGCAAGGACTGGTTTTGCTTTTCTTTGTATCTACACCCCTACTTAGCATGGTAATGGGAACATAGTACTCAATAAATGTATGTTGACTGACTGACAATTCTTCGGACCTCAGTTTCTTCACCTATGGAATGAGGGCTCTAAGGGCTCTTCCAGGTATACTGTACTATGGCTCCCAGGCCAGTACTCTGCCCAGGGTCCCTGATTTACTGAGTGAACTCAATCAATTCCCCTTTCCTCTTTGAATTTCTATACCAGTATTTTCTAAGCGCTTTCCCTCTGCCCTTGTTCTTTATTGCTCCTTAATCTCTAGAATATTTCTCTTTAGTGTTATGGGGGTTTGGTATGTACCGAAACCACCAAAGATAGCCCGTTCCACCGTCTCCCAGAAGCAGGTTCCCCAGCACCTTCCACATGAGTGATGCTATCTTAGGTGGTTTGGTATTTCCCAGACCCCCATTGCACTCACATGTAGGCAGACTAGGTGAATAGCTACATGGAGTAATCTGAAGGGAGCACTGAGAAAGCTCCTCTGTCCCCAAAGTATCTACTACCCCTTTTAGGTGCCTAAAATTTTACCATTAGAAAGTCATTCCTTTGGGTTAAACATTTCCCACTCTTTTAAAAGACTAGTTCCCTTGGGATGGAGAGCGCATGTTTTGTTCTTAGTTGCTGCTATTTTGTGTTCCTGGGGTTATCTGATGCTTTCCTCCATGCTAAGAGACCAGAGTGAAGGTAAAAACTTCCCAGTGGGCATTTCTAGGCAGGTGAGTGGGTATAGTATATAAAACAATAAAAGGAGACCCAGGAAGCAGAAGTGGGAGGAGCTAGAAACAAACCACTTCAGCAGGTGTATGGTGAAGAGAACTGAATAAAGAGTCAGGAGATTTTTAGGCCCAACATTGCTACTAACAAGCCATGTGACTACCTGAGTCTCAGTTTCCTCATCTGTAAAATGGGGATGATGATATTGATACTGCCTTCCTAGAAGGGCTATTATAAAGAAAACTTCAGAAATGGGAGTTACTGTCCTCTTATCACCACTGTCCTTTCTTGTTCCCTTGGGGAGGGGTGTAGTGCCTGACAGCAATTCTGTCAATGGACTTGGTCAGCCCCAATCTCTTTCCAGCAGTGGCTTTCTCTAGGTGGGGTTGGGGAATGACCTAGAGGCAGCCAGAATGATCTTCCCAAGGCCCCCTCAATTCTCTGCCTACTCACAAAAAAAGCAAATAAATACAGATGGGACCTTCCACCCTTCAAAAGTTATCAATTATATCCTAAGGCTGGCTATGTGGGGAACAGAGAAGGAGGTAGCTGTAGAGTTACCACAGCAACAAGGATCGGTCCAGCTTACCAGGAGTAGCCAGACTTGCGGGTCTATGGCTGATGCACAAAGGAAGAAAAGTAGGCTTTGCAGGCCTACGAGGTGCCTCAGGGCTTCTCACGTCCACGCCTGATGACTTCTTGGCCTCTTCATTGCCATGTTTCTTAAAAGAAAAGGCCTTCTTGAGGCTAGACTTCTTGTCTTTCTTCTTGGAGACTGGCTCTGGTGATTCTGCCAATGCCTCTAGGTGTTTTGGGTCTTGAGGGGAATTACATTTCTCCTTGGACTTTTTGTCTCCCCTTTCCTTGTCTTTTTTCCTAAAGGTTGGCTCTGGTGGCTCTACAAATGCCTCTAGGTGTTTTGGGTCTTGAGGGGAATTGCATTTCTCCTTGGACTTTTTGTCTCCCCTTTCCTTGTCTTTTTTCCTAAAGGTTGGCTCTGGTGGCTCTACAAATGCCTCTAGGTGTTTTGGGTCTTGAGGGGAATTGCATTTCTCCTTGGACTTTTTGTCTCCCCTTTCCTTCTGTTCCTCTGACCCTGTCCTGGTCAGGATGTTCACCAAGGTCTTTAACAACCCACGCTGGCCCTTCTTATGGGCCTTGTCCTTGTGGTTACTCCTTTGGCCACCCTGATCACTAGTGGCCCCGTTGGTTTTCTCTAGCTTTGGGGCCACAGAGGCATCACTATCCAATAAGTTTGCTTGCCTATCCAAGGGTCGGACCAGTTCACTTGACGCCCGGCGAAGCGACCGTGGGTCCTGAGATTCCCCAGTTCCTGGCATCTTCTTGGAGAAGTGAAATCTGTCTGGGGAATGGCCTTTCCTTCTCATCCAGAATTCTGCCTTCCACGAAGCCCTTTGTTTTTCCATTCTTGTTTCAGCTACAACAAAAATAAACACCTCTTTTAGGAAAACAGAATCCTGGATGAGAGGGTACTCAGGAAAAGAAATGGATTAACCCATAACAAGAAGATAACATTGTGAATAAAAACTTCTTGAGATGCTAACATGCCACATGCTTAGTCAAAGTGATTGAATCCTCACCTCAGTCCTTTAAAGTAGGAAGAATACATGTTGCTATTGTTATCCTCATTTTACAGAAGAAGAAACTGAGGCACAGAAAGGATATGTGATGTGCTCAAGGTGTAGTTAGGGACAAAACTGAAGAATAGAACCTATGACTAGATCTACTGTCCCTGGTCCCATGAGGTATACCACACCACTACTTCAGTGCTTCAGATGTATGCTTGAGCTGTCATGTGGTGGGTTTTTTTTCCACTTTCTTTTGTCCTTTAATTAGTTTCAAGAGAATTTTTTAGTATCTTTCAAGATCAACTCATCCTTTTGGTTTCAGAATTTTCTTTTTTTTGGAAATATTTTTATAATATTATATGTTGATATATTATTATATTATATATTACCATATAATATGCAACATATTAAAATAATTATTATTTTTCCAATTACATTTAAAGACAATTTTTAACATTCATTTTTTAAAAATTCTGTGTTCCAAATTTTCTTCCCACCTCCCCCTCCCTGAGATGGTAAGCATTTGATATACATGTTCAATCAGGCAAAACATATTACCATACTGCTATGTGATCTTAAGCAACTCTTTGAGCCTCAGTTTCCCCATATGTAAAACTGGCTTAACCTTCTCACTACCTCCCTCAGCTCAAATGAGATGAAAGGACCTTAGACCTAAAGCAAAAGGGACCTGAGAGTCCATTGAGTCCAACGCCTGCATTTTACAGATGAGGAAACTGAGGCTCAGAGAGGTTAAGGGACTTGCCTAAAGCCAAACAGGTATAAGCATTAGAAGAGGAATTTGAATCTAAGCTCTCTGGCTTCTGAGCCAGTTATCTTTCCACTGTACCGCTAACTTTTTTTTTTTAGCTAGGCAATGTGGTGACTTGCCCAGGGTCACACAGCTAGTAAGAGTTATGTGTCTGAGGCTGGATTTGAACTCAGATGCTCCTGAATCCAGGGCCGGTGCTGTATCCACTATGCCACCTAGCTACCCCCATCCCCGCAACTCTTTTGATAATGTTTACAGATGGCAATACAATCCCAATGATCTATCTACATAAATGTAAGTTGCATTATTGTTGTTTTTATTATGATAATATCATTGTCCCATGGTTGTTTAGATGAATTGGTTAGAATTAATGATACCAGAGCCATAGGTTTAGTCCTCATTGGGCCGACAATGACAGACTGAACTATTTAGCATCCACCTTGACCATAAGGGAGCTCCGGAGAGCCAGCAGGACCCCCAACCCCACTGTTGGGGAAACCAGTAAAATGAATGCCCTTCTGATGGCAAATCAGTAGAGGCACCATGTTTGTATACAACCAATGGTATATTTTGCCAAAGCAAACTCTCGCTGGAAGATCATCCTTAACTGGAAACTGTCTCACATTCTCTGTCTGCTTCTCAAGGCTGAGAATGTTTTTGCCTCTGTTTTCTTTCAATAAACATTTTATTGATGACTTTTAGATTTACGTAAGTCATTTCAACTTCCTCTTTTCTCCCCAAGCCCTCTCTTGTGACAAAGAAAAACAATTAGGCAAAAACATTTGACCCAGTAACCTCATCAGATGTTTATAATTTTCTGTTCCATAAGCCCTCCTCTGCTGCTGTGATGGGAGTGGTATGCCTTATTACCTAATCTCTGAGATCTTCATTGGTTTTCCATTTACTCATTAATCAAAATTTCACTTCTGATACAAAATATATTGATGAGAAAGAAGGTGGATTTTTGTTAATTGAAAGAAAAATAACCAACAGGTACATCAAGTCTTAGTATCCTCATTTTACACGTAAGGAAATTATGGATTGGTGAGGGGAAGAGATTTCCCAAGCTGGTGGTATAGTTGGGGATCAAGCCTAGGGCCTTCTGATTCCAAATCTAGTGTTCTTGTTTCTGCTCTTTGCTGTCTCTAACTGCTCAAGACCCATAGTGAGTTAATGGCAAAGACAGGTTTAGAACCCAAACCTTCTGATTCCCCATCCAGTTTTTGCCCCTTGATGCTCATCATTGCCCGACAAACTCTGGATCAAGGAACACAAAACAATCAAAGAGCTCTATAGCACAGAGTCCGTCCTTACTCTACGTCAGGGTTGGGAAGGCAAAGGAAAGCTTGGGAAACCTTCCATATGCTAAGGGGGGCCCAAGATGAAAGGTCTATGACCAACTGGGACATAGATTCCTAGGATATCAGAATTGTGAGGGAGCTTAGAAGTCATCTGGTGTACTCTCAACCTCCCCATTTTACAGATGAAGAAACTAAGGTCAGGGGGGAGTGCCTGGTCCAACATCGAACAGCAAGTATTATTCCATGGTCATATTCCAATTTCTTCCAGCTCTTTTGAAAATCATACCCTTAATCTAAGACATCTCCAAAGGCCTCATGATGGAAAATGCTATCCACATACAAAGAAAGAACTATGGAGTTTGAATGCAGATCGAAGCATACTATTTGCTATTTTTTTTCTTCTGTTGTGTTTTGTTTCCTCTTTCTGGTGGTTCCTCCTATTGGTGCTAATTCTTACTTACATCATCACTAAGATGATAATATGTTTAACAGAAATGTATATTACAGCCTATATCAGATTGTGTGCCATCTTGGGAAGGGAGGGGGGAGGGAGGGGAAGAAAATTTTAAAACGCAAAAGCCTATGGAAGCGATTGTTAATCATTCAAAATAAATAAATATTTTAAAATTTTTAAAAAAGAAAGTCATACTCTTAGTTGGATAGGGACAGAGTGAGAGTGGATGGATACAAATACATCCTTATTAGAGGAATGCCTGAAAGGGCACATCCTCCTAATTGCGGACTCATATATATTACTTCATCTTCGTGTCCGCAAGACTTTACATTATCATCCAGTCACTAGTCCTCTTAGAAAACAAAGGAGAAATAACAACAACGTCTCCATCTTGCCTAATCTCACAGACCACGGGATGATCTCAGAAACCTGCCAAGCACAGAAACTGAGCAGCTGACTGTAAACTGGCAATTGGGTTTGACTAACAGGTACAAGGTTCAGAATAATTCATAAGCATACACTGAGCCTCTAGTCACGTGACTTTTGATGACTGGTGAAATCCACTGGTGAATTACCAGAAAAGAGAGCAAGAGAAAGTGAAAGAGAGAGAGATTCCCAAAAGATACAACCTGCTATGGGGTAAGATTTGTTCCTTTCAAGCCTGCCCTATGGCTTTGACTTCTCTTATTACTTTATATTAACATCATCTACATAATATTTCTCTAACCTACAATAATAACAGTTCATGTTTACATATATGTACGTGTATATCACTTTTTGCATATGTATATGTGTGTGTGTGTGTGTGTGTGTGTGTGTGTGTGCATTTATATAGGCAGCTAAGTGGTACAGTGGGTAGAGCTCCAAGCCTGGAGTCAGGAAGACCTGAGTTCAAATCTGGTCTCAGACACTGTCATTTAACTCTGTTTGCCTCAGTTTCCTCATCTGTCAAATGAGCTGGAGAAGAAATGACAAACCATTCCAGTATCTTTGCCAAGAAAATCCCAAATGGGGTCAATGAAGAGTTGGACACAACTGAAAGGACTGAACAACAGCAAGGAGGTGACGGGATAAAGAAAGAGGTGAGGAGGAGTGGGATTACCAGAGTGTCAAAGGATTATATTTAAATAATGAAGCCCAACCACTTGTGCTCATCATTATTATCATCAACATCACTCAGAATGTCAAAGCTGGAAGGCACGTAGTCTAACTCCTTCATTATGTCCTGTCCAAGTTCTTGAAGAGCTGGGACCAGAAGCTGGGGCTTCTATCTACTCCAATTCCAGTACTGTCTCTACTACATAATTCCTAAGCATCATGACCACACAAATGACAGCTCCTCTCTCTGTCTCTCTAATACCTGGATCACAATGATTGGATTTAAAATCCAAAGAGTCTGCTTTGCTAGTTACTATGTTTGTGAACTTGGGCAAACTACTTAGTCTCTCTGGAGCTCAGAGTCCCTTCCCACTGTAGAGAGAGGATTGAACCAAGGTTCAATTCCACTTTTAACTCTTAATCACTTAACCTCCCTGGCCTCAGTTTCCTCACCTGTAAAATAAGTGTGTTGGACTAGATGGTCTTTGAGTTTCTAAATCTAGACCTGTGATCCTATATCCCCACGAGCCTTTAAAACAGATGTGAGATGAAGCCCAAGGCAATGGTACCAGTGGAAAGAGATGCAGATAGACTTTGCTTCCCATAGCTTTCAACACTACATCATGAAGTGGGGCCAAAATATCAGTCGCTGGTCTTATTTGCCTAGTCCTTAGTCACTGAATGGGTGTTGGCTAAGACAAACAGATCTGGGAAAATGACCTGATTTAGAAAGCCGAGGTCACCTGAGCCATCGCCAATCATCTTGACCTTTGTCCTGCCACTGACTAAAGGAGTGAGGCCGACACTTGGCGCAACTCTTCACAAGTCAAGATATCACCCTCATGATGTCATTGCTCCTCCTCAGAAACAACCACAACAACAATGACAACGACAGTGGATTAGGGCACCACATGGGGCATTAACGCATTCAGTAATTCCCACTAAGCCAATACAGACTCCACCTGCCCCAGCTAAAATTGTGAAGTAGGCTAAGTCTGCCCTGCTTTTTCTTACCCTTGTCTCTGAGTCATTCTATCTATATCCACTACTTTGAACCTTTTCGATGGTGTGTTGGACCTGACTGGCATGAAGGCTCAGGAGAGCCAATTGTTAAATTTTCAACATGAGCATTTACACTTCAAAATCAGCAAAGCTGCAAACTGAGGCTTGGTTTATTGTTTTGTTGAGTGTCTAGACTTAAGAAAGTGATGGGGAAAATGTCAATAATGCAAATTGCACTTAAAAGTGAGCCATGGGTAGTTTTTTTTCATAGAGCCGGTTGTTAAACCTTTAACAACACATACTAGGGCCAATCTTGCTCTTATCTTAGGTTTCCACTAACCCCAGCTGAGGCATTACCTTCCTCACAGGCACTTCATGGAATTAGTCATAGAACTGGTTGAAAACTTAAAGACTGCTCCATTCAACCTTCTACCTCCAAAAGAATCCTTTTTTATTATTTCTGATGGATAGTTATATTTGGTTTCTTTCAATAAAGAGAGAGCAATGGATTTAGAATTTCAAGCCCTGAGTTCAAATCCCTCCCTGGTCACTCACTATAGCATCGAGCAAACCTTGCTGGGCCTCATTCTCTTCATCTACTGAAAGAAGTAGTTGGATCACATGATCTCTAAGGTTTCTTCCAGTGCTAAGTCAATGATTCTGTGATCCTAAGTTCAGTCAGAAGACCTGGTTCAAGTCTTGCCTCAGATACTTAATAGCTGTTTGACTTTGGACAAGTCACTTAACCTTTCTTGGACCCTGATTCCTCTTCTATAAAATAGGCATAATAACGTTTACGCTACCTACCTCACATGGCCATTATGAGGAAAACTCTTTGCGAACCTCAGTGCCACATAAATGTAAGCTGTTATTATTGTGCTAGGGAAATATTTTATGTCAGAGAATATGTTAGAGAAATCGGATTTAAATGACATTAATATAAAGTTCATGACAGAAATCAAAAGAAAATACTGTGCTTAAAAGGAGCAAATCCTACCTCACAGGGAAGGGGAAGGGAAGACAACACACATGAGGTAAGCACCTACCCTGTACCACTCACTGGGCTAAGGAAGCCCTTTATAAGTACACTTTAGGATTCATCAGAAGGCATGGTGACTTAGTATTCCATTCCAAACTCCAATGGTTCCTAGGAAACTTTTAATGACAGGGGGCTCACTATCTGACCAAGGGACCAAGCATTAAGGAATAAGGCACTAAGATTAAGGAGGATTGGTAGATGCTTTTTCTTGCTTTGTTAAGCGAGAGAAAGTAGCCAATTACTAACGCCTCAGGAGATCCACTCTTGGCATTGTATGTATACTGAAAATGCAATGCCCTGAGGTATGTTTGGGGATGCTAGACAGCCGACCTGATAATGCCAAGAGCCAGCAGGCATTTATAGGAAGCTATTATCTTTTTACCCAGCAAGAAGGGAGAAAAGCCCTCTGAGACTTCTGCGCTTAGAAAGGAGAAATTGATGCTGAAGTTCACAATCAAGCGTGCTTGAAAGAGCACATGAACTTCACTCAGCTGAATTGACTGATGCTTTTACAGCAAGGGTTCTTAACTCTTTGTGTGTGCAATGGACCCCTTGTGAAGTCAAGTGGAACCAAAGGACCCTTTCTCAGAATAATGCTCTTAAAGGCATAAAATAAAATGCATAGCATTGCAAAAGAAGCCAATTCTGTTGAAACACATTTATTAAAACATTAAAAATAATAATTTTTATAAAAGTTCACAGATCCCAAGTTGAGAACCCTTACTTAGGGAACGCCTTTTGAAAGGTACCTTTTCATCTAAAGGTTTCATTATTCAGTTATTTTAGTCATGACCTCGTCTGGAGTTTTCTTGGCAAACATCCTGGTAGGTTTCTTGTGTGTACCTGTTCACATGCATGCTTTCTCCCCTGTTAGAGCATAAGTTACTTGAGGGCAAGAGCTAATTTTGCTCTTTCTTTGTATGCCCAGCACTTAGCTCAGTGCCTGGTACACAATAGGTGTTTAATAAATGCTTTATTGATTGCTCGACAATGGTCAGAAAATTCTTCCTTACGTTGAACTGAAACATGACTCCCCATTACTCCCATGCATTGGCCTTATTTCTGTATTCTCCAGCTACACAGCAAAGTCTCATCCTTTTTTTCCACATTACACCCTTTTAAATTTGTTGAAGTCGCGAGCTATTATGTTCTTCTGTCCTCAAGTCCCTATAAACCCCGGTCCTCTGATTCCAAATTCAACATTGTTTCCACATTCCAGTTAATAAATGCTTCGTAAACCTCCAACCTCTTCATTGTAGTTATTATGCATTCTCCTTCCCTCCCCCAGCCCCACCCCCCAGTCTCAAGTGAATGTCCCATAATTACAAAAGAATAAATATGGTCCCAAAGAAGACACCACCACTCCTCACTCCTTTGTAAAGGTGAGGAATATTGCATATGGGGTCAGATATTTTCAATGTATATTGATTGGTTTGGGAGATTTTTTTCCGCTCTTTTTCTTAAAATACTGTCTGCTAGAACCAGGAGAACACTATACTCAGTAACAGCAGCATTGCGTGATGACCAACTCTGATAGACTTAGCCTTTCTCGGTAATGCAAGGATCTTAGACAGCTCCAAAAGACTCATGATAGAAAATTCTATTCACATCCAGAGAAAGAACTATGGAGTCTGAATGCAGATCGAAGCACACTATTTTCTCTGTCTTTTGTTGTTGCTGTTTTTCCTTTCTCATGGTTTTTCCCTTTTGTTCTGCTTCTTCTTTCACAACATGACTAATGTGAAAATGTTTAATATGATCATACATGTATAGCCTATATCAGATTGCATGCCGTCCTGGGGAGGGGAGAGTGGAGGGAGGGAGAAAAAATTTAGAGCTCAAAATCTAATAAAAGTGAATGTTGAAAACCAAAAATTAATTAATTAATTAAAAAAACAAAAAGCAAAAAATATTCTTTGCTATAAGGAATGGCTGTGAAGGAGTAGAAGAGAGATATAGGGGGAAAGCAAGGTGACATAAAAATGAAAGATATAAATAAAATCTATTAAAATTGTTTCTATAAAATTTTTTTTCTAAATTATGGAATCTCAGAGGTAAAAGGAAATTGATAGATTATCTTGTTCAACCCATAACTGATTGAAAATTCCTTCTGCAGAGCTTAAACTCCCTTAGAGATCTCCACATTCACTATCCCCCATGCAAATCATTTCCACTCCAGATAGTTTTCCCTTTCCCAGGTAATGCAGAGAAAGTGATCTCAAAGCATTTGCTTTGTCTTATCTCCTCTCCTTGTCAATTCCAATTTTCCCATTACCTTTCCTGCCCTAGAATAATTATCTTATACCAGTCAAAGCAGTTCTACCTGGTTAGTCCCTTCCATGCCCCACTCTCTACACTGCCACGGGCCTGCAACCTTAAGAAAGTCATTTTCTCTCTCTCTCGTCCTCTCTCCCTCTTTTCTCTCTGTCTGTTTTCTCTTTGTCTCTGTCTCTGTCTCTCTTTGGATCTCTGTCACTTTCTGTGTCTCTATCTGTTTCTGTCTTTGTCTCTCTGTCTCTGTCACTCTCTGTGTCTCTGTCTTTCTCTGTTTTTCTGTCTCTCTGTCTGTCTCTCTCCCCCCCTCCCCCAGCAGAAGACCCCAAATATATTACTAGCACAATGTCCAACTTTAGTCCACACCAGAGGCAATGTGGTACAGTGTAAAGATTATGTGCTCTGGATTCAATGGACCTGGGTTCAAATCCTCTGATATTACTTGCATGACTTCGGGCTGTTCTCTCTCAACCTCAGGCTAGTTAGGTTAGATAGAGTGCTGGGCAAGGAGTCAGGAAGATTGGTGTTCAAATCTAGCCTCAGTAACTTACTAGCTGTGTGACCCTGGGCAAGTCACTTCACCCAGTTGGCCTCAGTTTCCTCATCTGTCAAATGAGCTGGAAAAGGCAAACCTCTGAATATCTATGCCAAAAAAAAACCCCAAACGAGTTCACAGAGTCAGACACAAATGAAGATGATTGAACAACCCTTCAACCTCAGTTTTCTCATCTGTAAAATGAACTAACTATAGATCTATATCCTATATTTCAGAAAACCCTAAATATCACAACAAAATCCAGTCACAAGAGACCCTAGGCTACACTAGAAGCAGTTATGGCACAATAGAAAGAAACTTGAATTTTGAGTCAGAAGAACGGGGTTCAAATCCCAGCTCTACTTTACTAGTTTGACAACTGAGCAAGTCACTTCTCCTCTATGGAGGAAACCCTTTCTGTCAAAATAAACTCTCTGGGCTTCAGTTTCCTGCTTTGTGAAAAGAGTCTGGACTAGATTAATTTCTACGTTCCCTTTTTTGTTTTAAATCCCATCTCCAAATTGAGCTTACCGAGCAAGCTGAGGGTCCGTGCGGTGTCCTGAGGTGTGTTCAGCCGAGTGGCTCTCCTTCCGCGTTTCAATCTGATCGGTTTAGCTCAGCTAACCCGGCAGACTCAAAGGGTTCAATGCTGCTAACAGTGCCCAGGCTCCAGACCTGAGATATGAATCTATTTATAGAATCATATTTATAGACAGCTATATCCATGTGCTGGTGACAGTTAAGCTTGTTTGAGAACACAGTTTCGCTTGATTTTCATTTTAACTTCCTCATTGCCTTCAGATCAGATAAGGAACTAATTCGCCAATTGGAACAATCCTTTGTCTGGATGTGAGATAAAGGGCTAGTGGTAAACAAATGCTTCTTGGAAATATATTTAGAGGAAGAAACAAAGGGGATTTTTGCTCATGACCAATATATGTAGTCCACTACCAAAACACTAGACCAGAAATGACCGGAGTAGAGGTGGGGAACCTGGGGCCTCGAGGCCCCATGTGGCCCTCTAGGTCCTCAAGTGCGGCCCTTTGACTGAATCCAAACTTCACAGAACAAATCCTCTTAATAAAAGGATTTGTTCTGTAAAACTCGAACTCAGTCAAAAGGCTGCACCCTCGAACCTGGAAGCCTACGTGGGGCCTCGAGGCCGTAGGGTCCCCACCCCCGTACTAGAGTATTAGGAAGATAATAGAGCACTGGTTTTGGAGTAAGATCAGCTCCCTTCCCATCTACGTGGTGCAGTAGATAGAACCCGATCCTAGAGGAGGACATGAGTTCAAATCCAACCTCACACATTTACAAGCTGTGTGACCTGAGGCAATTCACTTAACCCTGTTTGCCTTAGCTTCCTCCTCTGTAAATGGAAATAATAAGAGCACTTACCCGCCCAAGGTTGTTATGAGGTTCAAAGGAGATGATATTGCTAAAGTACTTGGTAAACCTTAGAGTACTATATAAATGCTATCGTTAACCTTTTCTCCACCCTGAAAACCGGCATGACCTCCTTCAGTATGCCAGACTCAGACTCCTCTTCCCTTATGGCTAGACAGGAAGATTTCATCTATTAATTTCTCACTTAATAAGTTCCTAGCATTGTACCTTGAACATAGTCGAGGCTGAACAAATGTTTGTCAAATTAGATTGAAAAATTATCAGGACACTTCGGATTAAAATGACCAAGCTTGATTCTGTAGAAGAGTTGAGAAAATGTAACTTCCTTTCCTCTTTGCATGGGGAAGAGTCATTCCTATGACTATGCAATATTGCAGGTAATCTCAGCCACGGTCAGGGCGTGTAGCTGATTTTGCTGGACTGTTTTTATTGGCTATCTTTTAAAATTTTTGTTACATGGGTAGTAGAGGAAGGAAGGATATATTTGGAAATGAAATGAAGTTATATAAAAACTAAGTTCAGTAGTTTTTCAGTCATAACCAACTCTTTGTGACCCCATTAGGAGTTTTCTTGGCAAAGATACTGGAGTGGTTTGCCATTTCCTTCTCCAGCTCATTTGACAGAGGAGGAAACTGAGGCAAACAGGGTGAAGTGACTTGCCCAGGGTCACACAGCTAGTAGATGTTTTGCCTCACAAATTCTTATCCAGGAAGTTCCTAAACATAGGCACGGAATCCCAGATGTGGAGCTCAAAGGAGCCTTCAGGGGAACGTGGTCCAACTCTTTATTTTGCAGAGGACAAAACCAAGTTCCAGAGAAGTTAACTTGCACAGTGTCATATTATAGTAAGTAGCAGAGCTGGGATTTGAACCCAGGACTTCTGACACAAAAAGCTCTTCCTATTGGTTTCTAATAATAATAATAATAATAATAATAATAATAATAATAATAACAACAACTAACACTTTTATAGCATTTTAAGGTTTGCTAAATGCTTTACAAATATTATTTTTTTCCTCACAATGACCCCAGGAGCCAAGTGATGCTATTATCTCTGTTTAACAGATGAGGAAACTGAGGCACATAGGAGTTGTGTAACTTGCCCAGAGACATACAGCTAGCAAATGTATAAGACAGGATTTCAACTCAGGTCATCTTGATCCTAGTTCCAGAACTCTATCTACTCAATCTGTTGGACCTGCAATTTATTTCAATTCACGAAGGCATATGCACACCTGCTCCCGCACATACACACACATATTAGATTGTAAGCTCCTTGAGGGAATGGATTGTCTTTTGCATCTTTTTGTATGCCCAGTGCTTAACACAGTGCCTGGCACATAGTACACGCTTAATAAATGTTTATTCAATGAATAAATGAACATACAACCATATATCAACCCCTACTTAGGATAACAGAATTTAACTCAGTATAGAGCAAAGAGCCCTAGGCTGGGAGTCAGGAGATCTGGATTTGAATCCCAGCTCTGCCATTACTTTTAGCATCCATGGGAGAAGGTTTTGGGAGAAAAGAGTGGGAGAAGTGAGGACAAGATAAGTAAAGAGAAAATCAGGAAGGGGATTTAAAGGGATTTGGATTTGTGGAAAAGGCCAGAGGTAGAATTTTGAGAGGAGAAATTTAAGACAAATTGAGGACATTTTGAAGGAGAATAATTTCCAGGTTCAGATTCTACTTTTAACTTCCATTTTCAGGGAAAGAAAATTGAAAGAGCAGAAGATTAAAGAGGAGGACTAAAGCAGAAGAAAGGTGTTAGAGTAGATGGTAATGCAAAATAAGGAAGAAAAGGTAAATAACGTAAATTTTTAAGCAAAATAAATTGGTGAGAAAAGTGAGAGGTTAGTACAAAAAGGGAAGGGTAGTAGAATGGGCATACTAGACAAGGAAAGGAAGATGGCATAGATATCAAACTATTTAGAGGTGGTCGATAAAAGGTTTTGAAGATCTAGAAAGTGAGACCCTCAGGAAGTTAGAAAATAAAAACACAAGATTATGAATCTCAATCAAGGTGAAGAGTAAGATAAATTGCACAGTGACTTGAACTGAATAGGCAATGTTTGTATGCTGCCAGCACAGTGACTGCTGTATACGTTCCAAATGTAGGCACATTTCCTTCTTAGAAGAGGTAACAAGGAGACAGCTAGGTGGTGCAGTGGAGGACCTGAGTTCAAATCCGGTCTCAGACACATAACACTTACCTAGCCCACTCCCCCCCCCAAAAAAAGGAGGTGACAAGACCTGAGGGATACCTCTCCATGCATCAAGTTATCAGAGATAATAAAGTGTCCCTTTTCTTTTTTAAGATTTTAAATTTATTTTAAACTTAAGTACAAAATAAGAAAAGAAAATAAATCCCCATGTACACAGAAGAACATAGGAGAGAATTCAATATAAAGCAATAAATTTCCATTTCAAAAAAACTTATATAATAAATACTATACATTGTTTCCAAAGCTGTCCAGCTTTTCTTTGCCTCCTTGCAGATTTTCTTTTGCTCTCTTTTTACTTTATTTTTCCCCTGCCTCCCTGCCAAAGAAGACTACAACTAAATATATACATAATATATATAAAACATATACATAGATATCTATAGACATACACATACATACTCATACATACATACATGTATATATATGACTGTATTATGTTTATTTCTACTTGTCATCTGTTTCTCTGAAGGTGGATAGCATCTTATTTCACATTTTCTAAATCAACCAGCTCATCATTTCCTACCCAACAGCACTATTCCAACCCAATCCCATTCTATTTGAGAGATTGTCTATGAAAGTTTTTTCCCAATTTTCTGCATTCCTTCTATTCTTGGCCACATAGTTTTATTTATACAAGAAATTTTTAATTTAAAATAATCAAAATTATCCATTTTTAAACTTCAGCAATGCTCTCACCTTGTAATATGGTTTAAGGTCTGATACTACTGGTTCTGATTCTCTTACATCTTTTTTTTCCCCCTGGTTTCTTTGAAGTTCCTGACATTTATTCTTCTAAATGAACTTTATTATTATTTTTTCTAACTCAGTAAGATAATTTTTAAAATAATTTAATTGGGATGGTATTACATAAATAGATTAGTCAGCTAAAATTGTCATTTTTAAAAATTATATTGGCTTTACCTACCCGAACAATAAATATTACTTTAGTTATTTAGATCTAACTTTTATTTGTATAAAAAGTGTTTTATGTTTATCGTATAGTTCCTGCATCTATTTTGGCAGGTATCCTCTCAGGTATTTTATACTGTGTAGTTATTTTAAATGGTCTAAAACAATATTGAATAACATGGCTGACACATAGCATAGTTTCTCAATTTTTCTCTTTTGATTAAATCTATTTTAGCTTTAACTTTGTGTGAAATCATGATTATACCCCTGCTTTTTATATAATAAACTCGACTCCTGCCCTCTATTTTATGTTTGTGTGTATCTCTCATTTTTACAGCATTTCCTGAAAGCAACATATTGCTGAATTCAAATTTTCAGTCTGCTATCAGTTTCCATTTTATGGGTAAATTCATCCCATTCACATTACAAACTATAATTGTTTGTTGTATATTTGCCTCTTTCCTATTTTTCCTCACTATCCTTCTCACCCTATTCCTATCCCCCTCACTCCTCTGTTTTACTTCTACTCACTAGCTTGTCCTATTTCTTAACCTACCCACCCCTCCAAGAATCCTTCCCTTATCCTCTCCCCCAACCCTGTCTCCTTGCCCTCTTTTTTCTTTCTAAATATAGAAGACCTTTATACCCTTCTAGATGTGTATGTTGTTCCTTCTTTAACACATTCCTGATGAAAGTAAGGTTTCAGCACTACCTGCCCTCCCCACTCCTAGTTTCTTCTGTATCAGTTTTTCCTAGTTTGCCTCATTTGTATGAAATAATTGCTCCTTTTATCTCCCTCTACAATTTTATTTTTTTTAGAATCACCCCACCATACTCAGCTTAGCCAAGTTTTTTTTTCAAACTACCCAAATAAAAATGATAGTCATAACAGAACTGATACTATTTTCATACATAAGAAGTAAACGATTTGACATTATTGAGTCCCTTATAATTGGTCCTTAATATTTACTTTATATTTCTCCTAGATGTTATATGTTGAATTTTCCCTTAAGTTCTGCTGTTTTTGTCACAAATACCTGAAAGTCTTTCAGTTCATTAAATGTCAATTTTTTTTTCCATTCAGGATTGTACTTAACTTTGCTGGATAAGTTACCCTTGGTCATAATAACAGCTCTTTTGCGCTATGAAATGTAGTATTCCAAGACCTATGTCCCTTCAACACAGTAGCTGCTAGGTCTTGTGTAATCTTTATTGTAGCTCCATGATATTAATTTTTTTTCTTGTTACTTCCAATATTTTCT